TATCTATCCATCTATCTAGCGGTATCTATCTATCCATCTATCTACCAGTATCTATCTATCCATCTATCTAGCGGTATCTATCCATCCATCTGTCTAGCGGTATCTATCTATCCATCTATCTACCAGTATCTATCTATCCATCTATCTAATGGTATCTATCCATCTATCTAGCGGTATCTATCTATCCATCGATCTACCAGTATCTATCTATCCATCTATCTAGCGGTATCTATCCATCCATCTGTCTAGCGGTATCTATCTATCCATCTATCTACCAGTATCTAGCTATCCATCTATCTAATGGTATCTATCCATCCATCCATCTACCAGTATCCATCCATTTATCAGTCTGTCCGTCTGTCTAATACACTGCTTACTAGGCACAGTAAGTATCCTGTAGGTACTGTGTATGTGCCACATAAATACAATTTAACGGGCCACTTTATAATACAGCCCAACCTTGTAGGTAGCTTGTAAGTGTTGTACCAGAGTACATATTCTGGAAGTACAAGTTATGTGCCTGGTACATACCAGCTTTATACCAAAAAGGTACCTGGATATTATAAAGTATGTACCCTGTGGGTACCAGCTAGGTACCTGGTATGTACCAGCCACATATGCAGTAATTACCAAGTACAGACCAAGTTGGTACTTTGTAAGTACCAGGTGCATACCCAATACACACCAGCTATGTACCAAGTAAGTTTAAGCTACGTACCTGGTAAGTGCTAGGTGTGTAGCAGGTTACCCTGTAAGCATTTGGTACGAACCTGGTATACAACAAGTACATACCAGTAAATACTGGGCTGTATTAATTATCGCTACTCGAGGTTCTAACCTTAAGTTTCCTCTGTATAAAAGAAACAATGATGTATGTAACTGCAGCAGGTGATTCGTGACTTTATTCCCTTCACTCATTGTGTTTGACTTGTACTACTTTACAGATTACAGTTTTAAAGTGCTACAAGTTTCTGCATCGTTATCATTTCCTTTCGCAAGTCTAAACAAACTGTTATAATAAAGAATGTGTGAAGTTACAGAGCAACCTGTGGTTTAAACAGCTGAGACAGCTCCCTCCAACACTGCGTTAAAAGATGTTCAGATGTTACGAGGCAGTTTTCCTACCAATGAATTCAAACGCCTCCTCAAAGTACTGCCGCAGGTTCTGCTTGTTGCTGTCGGTGGCGGGCAGGCGCTTGTAGTTGAACAGGCCCGTGTCGTAGTGGTAGAGCGGCAGGTGGGTGGTGACGTTCAGGATGTAGCCGATGTTCAGCCGCTGCAGCAGGTTGATGTCCTGACAGTCCTGCTCGTTCCCCAGATAGAGGAAGGGCAGGATTGGCGTTAGCTCTGCGTTCTCGATGTCCGGGGTGGAGGGCAGGGAGTGAGGTAGAGGCCCCGTCAGGCCGGCGGAGGCGCCCGTGTCCAAGCCCTCGTGGAGGTGCAGCGAGTGCTCGCACAGGTTTTCATGGCTTTGCCTGAAAAAGCTAAGGCCTCCTGTGAACAACAACAAAAACAGAGAAAATCATCATTAGAACAAACAGCTTAGGTTTAATTAAAGAACTGAAACACATTAAAGGATGCACCAGTTGCTCAGAAGGCGGCCAGAATCAGACCAGCACGCAAAAAGCTTCTTTTTTTTTAAAAAATCAAGAACGCATCATAGCTCATCTGCTTGCACTATGGGAGTTTGTAAGATAGAAGAAAACTTAAAGTTAATCATTTTAAAGGGTGTTTGAAAAAGGAAGCAGATGGTTTACAGCTCCGAAGTACTTTATCTGAGGTTTTTCTTTACAGCAGCAGCCGTAACACAAACAAGCCACATATTTACATCCACTTTACTTTGAGATCTAAGATTTGCACACAGGGTCCAACATTCAATACATAGTTAAATAATACATAGTATATGTATAATACATAGTGCATTCAATAGTTAAATAATTACAATTATGAAAACAACTCTGCAATAAGGGTACCATCACAAATGCTTTATGAAAAGGTTACTCATGAGTATGTCTTATAAAGCATAATTAAACATTTATAAATCAATTATAAAACACTATTAACACAATAATGCAGACTTAGCTTTTAGCAAAAAACAAGCGTACTTTTATTGATTTGAGTAAAGCTCAGCTTTGTCAGTTTTGTGTTTTATTTATTTATTATTTCTGCTTATTAATGGTTTATTAAGTTTGTACAGTCAATAAGTTAACAGCACAACTATTTATTACTCATTTAAGAGGGCACTTTTAAAGAAAAGTGGCGCCCAGTTATAAAAGTGTCATTTACTATTTGTAAGGTCATTATGAAGGGAATTAAAGATTGGTAGATCTAACAGTACATTTGTTTTGTTTTGTTTCTTTAAATCACAAATATATCAGACAATGCTGCACTTTTTTTAAATCAGTTTGCAGGAAAAAAATGTTTTTTTTTTTGTTTTTTTTTGGTTCATATTTATGTTTAGATGCTTATTTAAAATAACATTTAAAACTTGGGTTTTATTTGTACAAATGCCGACAAAAAAAAAAACGCCCTTCAAACTTGGTCCCTTTTTAGACAAAAAGTCATTTATTTCTTTTTTTTGTACATGTTAAATTTAACCAAGAATAAAAGGGGAATGGTGGAGATTTGATGCTTTTAATTAAACTTTCTGAAGAGAAATCAGATCTTTACACAAATTGGAAATGGGCATCGGCCTGGAAAACTGCAATCGGTGCACCTCTGTTAAGAAACATTATCAACAAATGGTTTTATATTTAGCTTGTTCAACTATGTTTAAATTTCAACATGATCTCTTTGGTCGGAGTGGATGGAGCATGGGGTTAAAGGTTCAATTCCCACAAGAGCCATGTGTGCTAAAAATACACGCGGTCACGTTCCCGAGCACCACGTGGTGCATGGTAGGACGGACGTTTGCATACACTTCTGATAAAAGCAACTGACAAAGCCCTCGGACATTAAACCAGCCTCCAATCACCAGAAATGACATTTGTTTCCGATTTGAATGTCTCCATTTGGGTATCAATTCAATCCAAAGGATTATCGCTGTCTGACCAAATGAACAAAAAATAAACTACAAAAATTGCATTTCCTGCAAAAATGCGGTGTGAATGCTTATTGTAGAAGAATTTGCTGAAGAACAGCTGAAATGAGCTATAAAAAAACTGCTGAAATGGAAGAGCAAGCCTAATTTAGCAGATGAAAGCAGAACACATATTTGCTGAATTAGGTTTAAATTAGCAGAAATTAGCACAAAAAAGTAGCTAAAAAAGGGCAGAAATTAGCAAAAAAAAATTGGCTGAAAAGTAGCTGAAAGGCAGAAAGAAAGTTATACTATCAGAAGAAAGTGAAAAGAGCTGGAATGAGCTAAAAAATGTGGAATTGGCTGAAAAAGCCAAAATTAGCATAAAAACAGCTAAATAGTAGCTGAAATGGCAGAAATGGCTGAAACTAGTATAAGTAAGAAGAAAGGAGCAGAACGAGCTGAAATTAGCATAAAAAAGCAGAAATGAGCAAAAAAAAGTGGAAATTATCTGAAAAAAGCTGAAAACAGCAAAAATATCTGAAAAGTACTTGTAGCTAAAAGGGGAGTGGCGGTGCAGAGGTTAGAGAAGATGGGGCTGTGATCGGAAGATCGCCGGTTCAACTCTCCGTACAGAAAACATTAAAATGTGGGTGGGATAGGTGAAGCACCCACACCAGTCTCCACCCTCATTCCCCCCACCCAGGGGCCTTGAGCAAGGACCTTCACCCCCCACCATCTGCTCCCCCAGGCGCCCTCGATAGCAGCTCTCTGCTCCACACAGAGAGCTGTGGAAGCTCAGTGGGCTGTGGTTGTGTCAGGAAGGACATCCAGTATAAAAGCAATTACCAAGTCTTTGTGCGACTTAGTGGCAACCCCTGAAGAAGGAAGCAGCCGAAGTAAGATAAATATGAAAAGTAGCTGAAAAGGCAGAAAGAAGCTTAAATTACCAGAAGAAAGTGAAGAGAGCAATTTTTGATGAATTAGGCAAAAAGAAAAGTTTAAATGAGTGCAAAAAATATGGAATTAGCTGAAAAAGCAAAAAATTAGCATTAAAAACAGCTAAATAGAAGCTGAAATAACTTGAACTATTAGAAATAAGCTGAAAGGAGAATATCAAGCTGAAATTAGCAGAAAGAAGCTAGAAGAAGCACAAGAATGATTCTGAAAGGAGCACAAAACAGCTGAAATAAAAACCCAGCTTAAATTAGCTGAAAATAGCTGAAAACATGTTTCAGCTTCCTTGTGCAAATTTAAAGAAGCTGAACCAGAACAAAATGCGAAAGGAGCAGTAAAAGGTTGTAAACACATCAAAAGATTTGAAGGATGTAAAGTGAACTCAATTCGTTTTCTATGAGAAAAACATGCTGAAAAGGCTAAATATTTCAAAAAGCTAGAGTTGCACCAATACCAAAAGTCATAGCAGGATTGTACTGAACGAGCTGAAGAAAAATGTACGGAAGAAACATGGATCACAAGAGAGTGAATGCTTCATAAACATTAACACAATGAAAATCAGGCTCACACACACGTGGGTTAATGTGCAGGCGAACACACTTCACGTCTCCAAATATCTGGTGTGCACCTGTTTGTAACTGTGACACCATCAGCCGAAGTCTCCCTTCAGCACTCCAGCTGTGGGGAGGGGTCCGGCTATCAGTTGGAGAATTGTTCACGGTACAAGAGCTGACATCATGCGACGTGAGGTCATACCACAGCCTCACAACTCCCCCCCCCCC